TCGAAGCCCATCCCCTTTAGCGTGGAATCCAGCTTGGCATTCCACGCCTCTTGCTCGCCGCAAGCCATAGAGGGCCTTGCGCAGGCGGAGCACCTTGCCCTCCTTGCCGGGGATCGCAAATCCCGGCGGCTGGTGCACGTAGACCTCCTCCTTCAAGTCGCCGTTAAGGAACGCCGACTTGACGTCCATGTGATTAACACGCCAGCCCTCCTGGGTAGCTAGCGCAAGGAGGAGTCGCACGGACTCCATCCGTGCCACGGGAGCAAAGGCGTCGTCGAAGTCGACCTCTTCCTGTTGCACGAAACCTCGTGCCACCAAGCGAGCCTTGTGCTTGACGATGGCGCCGGCTTCATCCCTCTTCAGCTTGTACACCCACTTAAGGGTGATCGCGCGGTGACCACGAGGAAGGTCAGCAAGCTCCCAGGTGTGGTTCTTCTCGACCGCATCCATCTCCAATCGCATCGCGGCGCGCCATGCCGCGTCTCTCGGCCTCTGCAAACGACCGAGGCTCGCCGTCGTCACACGCAAGGTGCAACTGCGCCTCCAGGTCGTGAGGCACCGGTCCCGGCACCGGCTGGTCGCCGAGAAGGTTCTCCATCATACGGTACCGCAACGGCTCGCCGTTGTGGTACGCGTCGATGCGCTCCTCGTCGTGAGAGAGCGGAGCCGTTGCGGTACGCGTCGATGCGCTCCTCGTCGTGAGGAGCGGAGTAGCGAGCTCAACCAGGCTGTGCTCGACACGAGCTGGTGTTGGAGTAGACGTGCCCGGAGAGATGCCTGTCGGTGCTGGAGTGCGTGGCGGTGCCGGCTGTGGTGGAGCCGACGAAGAACTCATCGCAGCCGAGGTCCTGGCTGGAGAGCGTGGTGCTGTCGGAGTAGCAGGCGCCGGGGTTGGTGGAGGCTCGGGGACTGGGGTAGACGCGCTCGTAGAAGAAGAGCTGCCTACTCCCCCAGCTCCCTCGAAGTGGACGTACTCGACAATGAAGTCGTCGTACGTCGGAGCCGAGCCGTCGTCCACCGCCTTGTCCCACGCCCATCCTCACCTTTTCGCCGAACACAACGTCATGCTGCAGCGCGCACACGCCGTGTCTTCGGTCGAGGATGCGGTGTAGGCCTTCGAGCCTCCGCGTAGCCGATGAACACTCCCGGAGTGCTCCTGCCGCCGAGCTTCTTGATGTGGCCAAGCTCCTTGGCGAACGCGAGGCGTACCAAGACCCGCAAGTGGAGACCGCCGGCTTGCGCCCATGCCAAGCCTCGTCGGGCGTCCTGCCGTCCGAGCGCCTTTGGTAGGCGGGCGGTTGAGGATGTAGACGGCCGACACCACCGCCTCTCCCGGAAGACAAATGGCATCCCCTCTCTTGAGAAGGGCCCGAGCCATCCCCACAACCGTCTGGTTTCTGCTGCTTTCGACGACGCCTTCTCATTGTGGGTCAGACGGGCGGAGTAGTAGTGGCGCAATGCCCTCATCGGCAGCGATCTGACGACGCGAACTCAACCGCCGTGGAATTCGCCGCGTTGTTGGTGCGCGCGACGCTGCAGCTTTGCGGCCGCGCTCGCCTCAAGCACGGCGCTGCGGCGCTGATGGCGTCCGCAGCCTCTCCCTTGCTGCTGAGGACCATCACCCACATGTAGCGGGAGAGGTCGTCGACGAGCAGCAGGAAGTAGCGTCGTCCTCCCGGTGTCGCCGGTGTCACCGGGCCACACAAGTCCCCGTGCACAAGCTCGAGCCTCTCCTTGGCTCGAAAGCTCGCCCGCTGGGGAAAGGGGAGTCGCCTCTGCTTCGTCAACACGCAGACGCCGCAGAGCTGCTCCACATGGTCGAGGAACGGCAGGTCTCGCACCATCTCTGTGGCACTGAGCCGCTTTAGGGCCTCGAAGTGAAGGTGCCCGAAGCGCTCGTGCCACTACCATGCCTCGTCATCCCGACGAGCAGCGAGACAGAGGGGTTGTGCCACCTGCACGTTAAGGACGTAGAGTCGATTTGCGCTTCTGGATACCTTGGCAAGAAGGCGACGACGGCGATCCCAAATCCTCATGACTCCATCCTCAACCACCACGCACGAACCGTTATCATCCAGCTGTCCCAAGCTGATGATGGAGTTCCTCAACGCGGGGATGTAGTAGACTCCGGTGAGCAGCCTGTGCTCACCAGACACGGCGGTGAAGATGACGGAGCCGACACCCTTGATCTCCACGCCGGAGGCATCCCAAACTTGACGGAGCCTCGGACGCTAGAGTCAAGCTCGGTGAAGAACTCCCGTCGACTGGTCATGTGATGGGTGACGCCGGTGTCGAGGCACCACCCGTCAGTCTTGTCGTTGCTGGAGTCGTCGTCGAGGAGGGCGTGTGCTTTTAGCTCGTCAAGGTGGAGGGCCGCTGCGGCCGGTGCCGCTGGAGGTAGCTCGATGCTTGCATGTGCCATGAACAGAGCCGGCTCCTCCTCCGCCTGTGCGACGTGGGCCTGGCCGCGTCGTGGCTGTCGACAGTCCTTGGCCCAATGGCCAAGCTGGCCGCAGTTGCGGCAGGCGTCGTCTCGTGCCTGCCGGCGGCGCCACCCTGGGCGCCTCCGCGGGCATCACCCTCGGCACGTCCTTGCGCCCCGGCCTGGGCGTCTCTGCGCGCCTTGCCCAGCTTGTCACGCTTGCGGCCGCCTGTCGCGGAAGAAGGCTCCCCCTTCTTCCGATCACCTTGGCTGGCAAGCCACTGCTCCCGAGTGAGAAGGAGCTTCCCGCCAGTGGTGATGGGCCCCGAGAGAGACTGTGGCTCATCGCTGTCGACGACCTTGAGGCGACCTATCGCCTCCTCGATCGACATCGTGGAGAGATCCAGCAGAGACTCGATCGAGCGAGCCATCTGCTTGTACTTCTCGGGGACACAGTGAAAGAGCTTTTCGACAGCTCTCTCCTCGTCGTAGGTGTCATCGCCGAACTGCACCATCTTCTGCAACAGAGTGTTGAGACGGAGAGCAAAGTCATCAACGTCCTCACCTGGCTTGAAGGCTAGGTTCTCCCACTCCTTGGCGAAGTGCTGCGGTGTGGACTTGTGGGCGCGGTCGCCGCTGGCGTCGTCTTGCAATGATGGCGTCCCAAGCCTCTTTGGCAGTCCGCTTGTTGGTAAGCGAGAACTGCATCTCGAGCGGGACTGCAGCGATGAGGGCATCCAGCGCCCGTCAATCTAGGTCGTAGTCAACGTCGCCGTACCGGACTGCCTCCCACATGTGCTGCACCTAGAGCTTTACCCTCATCACCGCAGCCTACTTGACGTAGTTGGTCTTGGTGAGGTAGGCCACCCCATCACGGGGCCGACGTCCTGATGACAACTGGAGCCCGTGGTAACCACGGTATGCGATCCGGGAGAGAGAGCCACGCTCCTGTGAAGGCCGCGCTCTCCATCGACCCGTCCGCCACCGTCCGTCGGCGCTTCCTCCAGAGCGCCGCCGCGCGTCCACCCCGTCAGGCTGCCGCGCCGCGCGCGCGTGGCGTCGCGTTGCCGCCATCTTCGCCGCCAGCTGCTCGCCTGCCTCTCCCTCCCAGCTTCGAGGTCCGCGTCGGCGCTGTCGTCAGCAACGAGGCTGCGATCTTTGCCGCCGCCTCTCGACCTCGACCTGCTGCGCCGCCGCCGCGCTGCATCCGCCGCCGCCGCTGCCTCGCGCTCCTTTCTCTGCCACCCGACTCCGCCAAACCGACCTCGGCGCTCTTGCGCCGCCGCCAGCGGTCTCTGCCGCCGCTCGCTCACGTTCCTCTGCCGCGGCAAGTTCGGCCTCCTGCCGACGCCGCGTGCTCGAGGCGACCAAGCGCTAAGACTACCCTGCGGACATGACGCGCTACTGGGAGGAGGGCTGCGTGGGGAGAGGCTGCTGCATTTAGCCGCTTGCTCTGCTGCAGAGGGAGAGGAGGAGCAGAGCGACGGAGTCGCTTCGCTCCTAGTCAACAATGCTGCGAGGCTAGGAAAGAAGATGAGCAAGAGATGCTCAAAGCTCTGATATATCTGGCTCGATACTCAGGTTGTTAGTCGCTGAATTCTTACTCTTGGTAGTAGCAGAATTCTTACTCTCATCGAGAAAGGAGGACACTAGGAGTTGGGGTAATTTTCTGATTTATTTCTCACACAAATGCCATACTAACCTGAGGGGTTGGTGATACATATTTATAGACTGCTAGCCGGCCAAGCATATGCCAAGATGCTAGTTTAAGATGCTGTCCTAGATGCTAATCCTAGATGCTAATCCTAGATGCTAAGATGCTGTCCTCCAGTCAAGGATGCTGTCCTATGGGCAGCAAGACCACCATGCTGCTGCTGCCCCACAAAGACCTACACAGAGACTTATCCATCACATACTTAGGTCGATGTGAAATACTGCTTGCAGTAAGATAAAGATATGAAACTGGATTGCAAACCAGAAAATCCACACTACAAAATTATTAGATATCATCACAAACAGTTCATTTATCGCCCAAAAAATGTCCATACATTTCATGTCCAGAAAGCACAAAAAGAATAGAAGAATGAACATAGGGTGAATCTAGTAACAGTCTTTCATTTCACCTTGAAGACAAAAAAGGAGCAAGAACAAATTCGATCTCTAGGTTTACATGCATGAAATAGCCATAATCTATATCTCTTTCAGTTCAACTGTTTCCAGCATGCAAAAAGGTGGAATCAATTGATTTTCTGCTGTTTCAGGCTCAGCCAATCAATGTTTGCAATCAGCTGGGAATCAGTCACTCATATTTTTCCTTGAACGACGCAGGAGAGTTGGCATCATTTCATTAAAGCAGAAGAGTACAAAGATGTACAACATCACCCCAACCCCACCAACACACGCACGCACACACACATACCAGTGACACACGCTAGTTCATGATCATGCTACATGAAAAGTAAAATATACAGCCAAGGAAGCCATAGTCGATCAGTCACTCATTTAAAACTTAAAAGTGAAATGTCAGAACCAGTGTGCAAATTGCTAATATTCAGCATGATCTTGAACTATAACTATGTCATCGTGGAACCATTAGATGCAGTTGCTGAATATGGAATGCGTACAGACATTGAATCCTTTCAGTAATCTCACCTGGAAGGAAGAAAAACAAGCTTTAGCTGAAGAATTCTGAGCGCTTGGGTGCTTATCTCATTTGAAATCTGAGAAAGGGAACCGCTGCAATTACGAATAACTTACAGTTACGATGCTGATCTATTTCATCTCCTCTGCACTTACACTTTCTGAAAAACAGGTAAACATTAACACATAATAACTAACACAGGAATTTGAAATGTGACATATCTCATATTAACTATTTTTTTAATAGCATACCGATCTGCAGGAGTAGCATCATGAAATTGCTTATCTATTTGAGCAAGGTATATCTGGAACAAGCTTGACCTATGCGATCAGTTACAAACATGGAATTACCATTAATGATCACAAAAGATTAAAAAAAGGCATCCCATAAGGTAAAAGGTCAGCTCACCGTGGTGGAATTGCTGCGCGGTAAGAACTGGAGGTAGAAGCCATAGTAAGGATGGTTTACTCTCTAATGACTGTCTTGCATAGTCAAGAATATCCTTTTCCTGCAGTTCAAAGCTTTGGATGAACAACAACAACAACAACAACAACAAAGCCTGTCAGTCCCAAGCAAGAAAGTTTTGGATGAAGATACATTATTTTAGGAGGTCTGAGAAAACAAAACATTGTAGATACCAAGATTAAAAATATATACCCTCTTGCTAACAATTGTTATTGTGAATTGTGAGTTGTGACAGGCCCATTATGCATTTTATTTCCTGAGGGATCTCTGAAAGGCATGCTAAGCATAACTAATAAAACTATTATGCAGTCAGTTCCAAAGAATTTTTTGTAGATTAAAACATATCAGAAGGCCCAACATAGTGCGTCAATTTTTCTTATTAGTAAGTGCTCCAAAACCTGACCAGGATTCATGGGTCAGTTGAAGGGTCCAAGTTGATTAGATATATTACGAATGAATTGAAGGACATATGCTAATCGAAATGAAGACAAGGAACATGGTTTCAGAAAATAAATATTAGCATATAAAGGTTAGGAACTAGTATGCTGACTCAAGTATTGTTTAAATCAGTCGAGGATTACTTGTACGTCAAACTAGACCAAGGGTAGTACGACAAGTTATTGGTTTTGATAATGTTATTTACCATTGTTGAATGTAGACTAAGGAGTGAGCATTAGCAGCTCTCATAAAAAAATGGTTTTGTTTCAGTTTCCTGTCACATACTCACATGTGTAAGCACAGTTCCAGTAAGTGCACCGAAGGCCTGATTTGGTATACAACAAATTACAGGTTCTGGCAGAGTTTGATCATAGGCCCTCCACAGATTTTAGTTACAGATGGACATTGAGGATTCATAGAAGCACCCTTGATAGTTCACACAAAGACACATAATAGTGTTCAGTATTTAGGTGAACCTTCCTGAATTTATTCTTAAGATGTACAGACAAATACTTGGTTGAGAGGGGTACAATCCCCATATTTCAAAAAAATTCTCACTGAGTTAAAGTTTCCAACATACAGAATCCTTGGCAAACTATTAACATGATATAAGTCCAAAATAGGAAAAACCTCCAAATTAAGATGTTCGTGTTGGAATTTGTCCTGAGAAGTTCTGTGAAGGCACTGGTGCAGATCAGCGTACTTCTTGGATATAGGAATGAAGCAGAAAGTGTGTGATATGAAGCCCTCTATCAATGTGTTCCATCGCCCTGTAATTGAACCCAGCAAGCATAGCTCCTACAAAGATAACACATACATGTTGATGTGACAATGTAGAAAGTTTATATACTAGAACCGTATACAGATGAAGGCCAAAAGATGAGTAATTACCATGGTTTCAACAAGACCACTATGACACGATTCGGCTAAACCTTTTAAGGGCTCAAACACTTTCATCCACTGCTCTTTAGGAGCTTTAAAAATCAAACTGGCTCCAGACAGAACCCGAATGGTCCGCTCATCAAGCAAATATGACAAGCACTTAGCTCTCCATTGCTTCCACATTAGAAACTCGTCGATCATTCGTGATGTTCTGTGTTGTAATAGCATTGAGCAAGTTCAGACTGGGGCATGCTATCAAGTAGAATAAAGGACACAGAAATGTGGATTTTGACAACAAAAAGCAATATATCGAAGGTGAATGCTTACTTCAAAATTGCTGGGGCACATGGCATATTACTACCATCATCGAAGCTGTTTCTTTTCACACTGTTCAAAAGTGTTTCCAGTCCTCTCTCAGCCAAATAAGCACACGATGTCGAATCCAGCATTTTCTGAAATTCTTTAACAATAATCCGTGAGTGGCCCGTGGATTCTGCATGCAGTTCATCAGAACTAGTAGGAAGTCCACCATCACGAGCATTCATGGTATGCGCAGAACATGACAAATTCGTATTCAATATTGACTCAGCATACTCTTGGCATGCGTTGTGCGCACCACTAGCACAAATGCCATCAATATCCATCTCAACAACCGCTTCAAGAAGAGCACCAAAGTTTTCCACGCTCATTGGTTTTGCTTTCAGAAAATGTCGCATAACCAACACCCTTGCCATGGAAAGCATTTCTGAACGCACAACAGCAAGACCCTGCACATGTAACAGGACATCACTACGTGTAAAACCCCAGAATCAACACACCCACCATACAAGCTTTGGAGAAGCACCTTAGGGAACTCGGGACTTGAAGTGAGCTCAACGAGTGCCGCATCAAGCTCCCTTGCAGAATCCTCGTACTGGCCCGAGTCACGCAGGTCCTTGAAAATCTGAACACGATGCAGGCACACAATCGAGGAACTCAGGAGACACGTCTCCGACGCACTAATCGGCATCACTTCAAACTAACTGTCGCAAAAAACACTGCAAATTTCTACTCGAAGAAGGCACTAACCTCCTCGAAGAAGAGTGCCCACCGAAGGGCCTTCTTGACCTCGTCGTCGCTCCAAGTAGCGGCGGCGCCGGACGAGGTGCGACCGCCGGCAAGGACAAGGACGTCCACGAAACCCCGCACCAGATGGAGCACCTCTTCCATGGCCACCGCCGGGTGCGCCCACCCCATTTTTCCGAGTCCCTTTCTCACAACCCTGACTTCTGCAGGGACTAATGGGCAAGAAATCTGCAGTTTCCACTTTGCACACAGAACCCTATCCTTACTCATTTTCCTTTTCTATCACTCGGTTGTTTGGTTCACACCTCGCACACTAGCCTGAGGACCTTAAAATGCAATTGAGAATATGACAAGGGGGTGATTTGAATAATAGCCACAAAACCCTAATCTCGGCACCGTATAAACGAGCCAACCCGCCCACCCCCCCGCCGCCGCCACTCAGCGCCGCGCTTGCGTTTCCTCCTCTCCGCTTCCAAGATGTCGAAGCGAGGTAAAATCCCATACTCCCTTCCTACTCGATCTTCTCGTGCATGGTTCGCCGCTTGTGCTGTGTAGTTTATCGTTCCGGTTCTATGTTGACAAATTTCGTTTCTGATGCGCGAGTCCTTGCGCTATTTGGAGCCCATCGTGAATGAGTAGATCATCTGATGTCGCCGCTGGCGAGTGCGGGATTAGTGATCTTTTTAAACGAATTATTCTAAATTTTGATGCCACGGTCATGAGTTTGATACGTAGTTAGATCTGAGGTTATACGTTGAGCTTTGTGGTGAGGTTAGACGTTGAGCTTTGTGGTGAGGTTAGACGTTGAGCTTTGTGATGTTAGTTGGTTTATTACGGATGTCAAATGTATATATTTTGTTGCAGTTCTAATGCTTGAAGTGTTACACTTCCTTCCTTGTAGTCAAATTACGCTGCCACCAGTCATCTAAAATGATGCTATTTAGATGACTGGTGGCAGCGTAATTTAGCCAATATTATTGTTAAATGTTTAGCTGCTATTAATCCTCCAGTGTGATGTTTCATGTGTGTAGAGTTAATCGAATTGTCACATTGTTTTCCTGTTTCATGTGCATTATAGAGCTAATCTAGTTGATCTTAAGTGAAGCGCAGCATGTCACATTTCTCAATCTAGGTGTTTCCCTATTTTATCATTTACTCCTACTTAGGTTCCTCTAGTACTGGACAATCAGATGAAAGCTTTCTTTAAACAAACTTTGGGCATGTATACAATTCGTTTTGCATCTCTGTGCTTTAAATGCTGCTTGTTACTATAGTTTACACTTAATAATAATGCATTGGAGTTCTGTGGTCTAAATGTGCTTTGAACTGCAGGACGTGGAGGTACTGCTGGAAACAAGTTCCGGATGTCACTGGGTCTACCAGTGGCAGCCACTGTGAACTGTGCTGATAACACTGGAGCCAAGAACCTGTACATCATTTCTGTGAAGGGAATCAAGGGGCGCCTTAACAGGCTTCCTTCTGCCTGTGTTGGTGACATGGTTATGGCAACTGTGAAAAAGGGAAAGCCTGACCTTAGGAAGAAGGTGATGCCAGCTGTCATTGTGAGGCAGCGCAAGCCATGGCGCCGAAAGGATGGTGTCTACATGTACTTTGAAGGTACATTTCTTATCATGACTGGGTGCATTGACTCTAAATGGTTTACTCATTTGAGCTTCTGTGTGCTTGTAGAATTACTGAGAATTCAGTTCTCTTGTGTATGCTTCTTTTGATTTAGTTTTGATTCTTTAGAGTGTGATGTCTGCTTAGCTAACGTTCTACTTTTTGTATTACCTCTAATTTTTAGTAAACATGATGATCAGCACATCATAGTTTTTTTGCAAAATTGTACTCTAGAATACTTTATGATGAGAAGTTATGATTAGATTTTAGAAAGCTTGATGTTCTCTGTGTAAACAGTGTTGCTTCTTTACATAATAAAGAGTGACCATCCAGTATGGTCATTTGTCAAGAGGAAGCATATAAGCGAACTGGCCAGTATTAAACAGCATTGTGCATTTTTCTGCTGTGCATTGTTACCTGTCTCCTGGCACATGTTAGCATTCATGAAACAATGCCCAATACTATGTATTTGCTCAGATAGAAATAGCATGTTCTCATGTTTTTTAATTCAAACTAGTAATGGTGGAGGTTTATGGCCCACTATAAACATGAAAGAACATGTGCAAGTTATATGTTGCATCATGGTTGGATTGATATTAGTTATGCCTTGATATAATTTGGCATAAACATACGGTTGAATTGAGTTATATTTTCTATCTTCTGACATTTTTTGTGCAATCTTCACATATGTTGTTAGATTTAGATTAGAAGACATTTGGTGGTCAGCAACTTTTTTATTTACCTGCTGCTCTTCTGGTCATCACATTTATTTCAGTCTTTGTTCGCGGTTCATACTTCTATAATGTTCTGTTTATGTGATATTGCAGACAATGCTGGAGTGATTGTGAACCCAAAGGGAGAGATGAAAGGTATAGTCCTGAAAGTTCTATGGTTTTATATGCATCATTACAACTATTCTGCTGTAGGCATAGTTGAAAATCATCCCTGAATACAGCAGGCTGCTTATAGCTTTATGCCTTTATTATAAGCTAATACGTCTTCAATGCTGCAGGTTCTGCCATCACTGGACCCATCGGAAAGGAGTGTGCTGATCTCTGGCCCAGGATTGCTAGCGCGGCAAATGCGATTGTCTAATCGGAGCAGTTGGTTGAACTTTATTTAAAGTAGCATTTCCTTGTGTTGAGACTTGAGAAGAGAGTTCTTAGTTAGACAAGCTTTTGATGGCCCCAAAGATGTTTCCCCGGATGATGTTTGTGCTGCTGGATCGTTTCCTGTTAGCTTTGATGACATCCTCCCCATATCGATAAGAAGTTGTTGCTTAGCCTGACATTTGGCAGAGTTTAAATGTTATAAGTTTTGATATCTTGTGCTGTTTCGCATTGCTTTTCCTTGGGAGAGTTGAAATGTTGGGTTGTTTTTGGAATGGAATGCAGGGAATGGCGTAGAATCTCAAGTGAATTACTTAATTTTCATTGAAAAAGACACAGGAAACAGGAAAAAAAAAACCTGTCATTTGAAACATTGGTTGATTTTGTCTTTGCTTTGCCATCCCGATTCAGAAACATGGGAACGTGCTCTCCATTTCAAAAGAATACTGGATATTTTTCAATGTGACTAGATTTATTGAAAATATCAGCCTACTTTTTTTTAGAAACCAGGTATATATTTCATAAATAATTCTGATGGTTTACAACCCAACGCTTACAATGACACCCTCAAAAGAAAAGAAAATAACATTCAGGTCAAGCTTCTCCCGGTCATTCTCATCGTCGGCGGCTGGAACAGTCGCGTTGAAGCCGGCCACCCTCCCAACAAAGAATCTTCAAAGGTTTTAAACGGCACCAAGAGCAGCATACCGGCAACACCAACATGCTTTTTACTCGCTGAACGTACAGGCCTAACAAGATGGCCAGCAGCCATCGCATCGCCGGACAACTGGGAGCCTGGCGCCTCAGCCACCGACACGCCGGCCAACAGACCACCCCGGAGGCGAAAGAAACCACCAGAAAAGGTGGGAGCAATAGACCAACCCGATTTCACAAGCTGGTAGACATACCTCTCAAGGATTCCGTCGGAGAATCCAGCATCGGTGCCGGTGCCGACGAAAAAGAGGGAGGGATCATAGGGAATCTCATCGAGAACTAGAGCACCTATGAGGACTCCAGATTCGACAAGAGCACGCTTTATTCTCCATGGATCGTCACGGAAGGAAGGAGCTCCAGTTTCTTCGGCTCCGCCACCGGATCCGCCACAGCCACCCCTTCCGACGCCGGTCAAGAGGAGCAAAAGAGTCGGCAGCCATCTGACAAGGCACCGCCGAAAACCCTAACCCTAACCTATGCAAACCTAGACTAATAGGAGAGGGTATGTACACCGGACATCGATCCCCGTCTCCCTCCACCTCCGACGCCGAAACGGCCGCTAGAGGCGAAAAGGAGGCGGCGGAAACGACGCCGGAATGAGAATCGCCCTTCTGTCGCCCTTTTTTACTGTAGCAGGAAGAGAGGTGAAGGGTCGAGAGAAGGCTGCTATTTCTCTGTTTATTCATGCAAAACTCAGCCTACTAGGCCCATGCTTATACCCATCCTACCTATTCGGCAGCGGGCCAGACCGGATGGCCCGATAGATGTCCAGGTCCGGTCCATCCCAGCCTCGCCTAAACAACAGGGGACTAGAGATGGAGAGCCGTTCTATCTCCAGTGGCGAAGTCATTCGGAGTTCGGACATGTGGGTCACGTCTCCTCCGCCGCACCCACTCCAGCTCCGGCGACCGCCGCCTCCTCCTTTCCTCGTCCGCCGCCGTAACAAGCGGCTGGATCGCATCGCGGCCTCACAGGACCCGCTCACCGCGCTGACCCGCGTGCTGTGGGGTCGCGCGCTGCCACCGGCGCAGCTCGTTCTCGCCGTGCGCCACGGCTGGACCACGGCGTGGCAGCTCCTGATGCGGCAGCTGGCGCCGTCGGACCCCGCGACGGGCGCCTTCACCCGTACCCCTGCCCGCTTCCCCGCCGTCGCGGGGGAGCCCAGCTCCCGGCTCCACCTCTACGTGGGCCTCCCCTGCCCCTGGGCGCACCGCGCCCTCGTCGTCCGCGCGCTCCTCGGCCTCGAGGCCCGCCTCCCGGTCTCCGTCGCCGTCCCCGGGGACGACGGCGCGTGGTCCTTCACGGCCGGCAGCCCCGACCGGCTCTACGGCAAGCGGAAGCTCCGGGAGGTGTACGCCCTGCGGAGCGGCGGGTTCGAGGGCAGGGCCTCGGTGCCGATGCTCTGGGACGCCGAGCGCCGCGAGGTGGTCTGCAACGAGAGCATCGAGATCGTCAAGTTCCTCTGCGGCCTCGCCGGCGACGGCGACGGTGCCGGTGGCGTCGATCTGTGGCCGCCGGAGCTGCGCCAGGACATCGACCGCTGGTACGGCCTCATCTACCCCAGCGTCAACAACGGCGTGTACAGGTATGTATATCAGAAACTGGATTCCTCTGCAGCATTGCCATGATCGGATCGTCAATTGCAGCAACTGAATTCTCTGATGCTAACTGCCACTGGCTTTCAAATTATCAACTGCAGCAACTGAGATCAAATTGTCAATTGCAGGTGTGGGTTTGCACAGAGCCAGGAGGCGTACGACGCCGCGGCGAACGAGCTGTTCGGCGCGCTCGACACCCTGGAGGCTCACCTCGCTGGCTCCCGCTACCTGTGCGGCGACAGGCTCACGCTGGCCGACGTCTGCCTCTTCACGACGCTCATCCGCTTCGACCTCGTCTACAACACGCTGTTCCGGTGCACCAGGCGGAAGCTGGCCGAGTACCCCAGCCTCCACGCCTACACGCGCGACATCTACCAGATGCCCAAGGTTGCCGAGACGTGCGACATGGAAGCCATCATGGCAGGATACTTCAAGACCCTCTTCCCGCTCAACCCCGGCGGGATCCAGCCACTCCCGCCGGCGACCTGCGATAGGGAGTCGCTCTTGAGGCCACACGGCAGGGAGGCCTTGTCCTGTGCTGCTGGCACGCCGCTTGAAGCAGCCGGCGTTTCATAATTCAGGCTATGAACAAAGCTTCTGAAACTGCAGAAAGAGTTTATAGTTCTACCAGATTCTGATGCTTCAGCTTCATTTGATCAAGAAACTGCCATTCATAAACTCTTGGCCATATGAGTCACTGGTTAAATATGTTGTCGAGATCTGTGCTGCCAGTGATGATGATTATGATAGTGTTTCGGATGAAGATAGAATTGGTTCTGCTCAGTGTACCCAAACTGTGAATTCCATGTACTTATTAGAATCCTTAGTGTAATAAAGCGCACCTCTTTGGACATGTAAATTTTGTAAAGCAGCTGATGAGTTGTATAAAAGATGAATCTTATTGACTATTGGTACAGCTTACAAGATATTTTTGTTAGTCTGTGTTGTAGAGCCATCAGCCCATCACTGTCTAAATATGCATCAGAACTGTCTGCAAATGAGACTTACTTCTATATGATTTGTTTGCCTAAACGATAGTATATCCACGATTGCTATTTCGCATGAACTGGTTTTAGAACATCGTGTGGCACTGGTTAATAAGTAAAGGTGAGCATTTATATAATAATTGCAAGTCAGAATTGCATGTTGTATTTAGCACTTGATTCTGGCACTCAAGCAAATTTAATCAAAATACAACTCACTGCAATCTCCAGAACCACATTTAACCAAAATATAGTAGTCATTTAAGTGGTCAGCTCCGTTTATTTCACTGCGTTTGTGTGAAGTAACTGCTCAGCATGCACGATCCAGATGCTATCCAGAGGTAGATGTCCACAGCCGATACATGTTGATTACAGAGTTTAACTGCATAATAGTGAAAATCTGCATCAGAACCACATATTCCAATGCTCACTCACATTGCGTGGATGGCTTACAAATATGGTATATGCTCAAAGATGAAGACAGCATGTAAAATTACCTCCAAACAACACTATTTTTACAATGTTGTATCAACGCCCTCAGTTTCCATAAACAGCTTGTGTTCTCTAATGTATTCAATTACTTCATCACTAGTAAGATACTTTATCGATAGGCATCTTCTTATGCAGTCTCTGAAATTCAGTCATACATAGAAGCACATCATTGTTCAAGAAGCGATCATGCACATGAACAGCATAAAGCTATCAACAAACAGATGCCTGTAAGAATTATACCTTACTCTGGATGAACTGATCTGATTTGGCACAATCTCATCGACTGAAATAATGTTATCCTGGAAAGGAGTTCAGAAATGATCATACACAGCGAACATCAGTAAAGAAACTTATTCTGCTTCAATTGAAACCATCTGACAACAAGTTTGTACCCTGCATTCTTGCAATATATCACTGTTGGCTATCAACTTCCCAATATCTTTTCCTTCTCGGTGTATACATATGACACCGAAGTCCTTGCATATGGTTCTGACCTGGAAGCAAAAGTAGGTGTCATCAAAGTAAGTTGATCAAAGAAAATCAAAATGCAACTAAAGACCATGTCATAAGTTTGCAAAAAGGGTGCAAAAGTTTATTATTAGCAAAGTTCAAGATTTCTACCTGGTCTAGGATCCAAACACCTGGAGTGCTGAATGACTCGAGCAAGTCAGAACCACATAAAAGCATTACCTTCAGGCTACCTGAAAGAATTAATTAGTAGCTGATATAAAAGGAAATATCACCATTGAAGTGTAAACTACACCCGTGGGATCCAACAGACAACAGTATAAAAACTTTACATGTTATGTTGGAGCACCAAAAAAAATCCTCATATACATACCTTGGTCAGCTACACCATCCTTGCACAGTGAGTTTCGGACTCTCGAAAGAACGGTCAAAGTGCGCTGATAACCTTTCTGCATTGCCTATCAAGACAAACAAAATTCATACTATTCATAGCATAACCCAAAAAAAAAATTACTGACTGAGAGCATGTAAAATCAAGTACCTCCCACGGATCAACCATCACAAAAGATGAGCTTTTGCACGCAAGTTCACAAAAGCGAATTCGATGAGCAGCCGGTAAGAGGTCCTAAACAACTTTTAAATCTGAACTCAATAAAGAGAACATGAACACAAACTATACAGTTCCGTATGCTTTCTGCGAGGCCAAATATGTACCTTCTTCTTATATGCATCATTCACCGGAGACATGTAGCCGCCCAACACAGAATAACCTCGCTGCTCGAGTTCATCCTTTGCCAACTCTACAGCAAACAGGGGCAGCAAGAAACTTCACTACTCGCTCCCAATCACAACCGAAGGGGTGGCAAAGAAGTGTCAGCAGAAATCAGCAAGCTTCGAAGCATACCAAACATGCGCAGGTGCATGTACGTGGGAGGATTGAAGCTCCCGGTGGCCACGAGCACGACGCCACCTCGGCTTCCTCCGTCCCTGCCGCCGCCGCATCAGAGAATCCGAGGATCAGATGACAGACGGCCCCATCCACCACGCGATCGAAGGAGCACAAGACCAAATTTCAGCTACCTGTCCAGTTGAGAGGAGAGCTTCTCTCGCGGGGGAGGGACGTCCACGCCCACCTCCTCCATCGCCGGCGAGAGGAGAGCAGGCGGCGCTCGCCGTGCGGCTTGCCCGGCGCGGTGCTGCGGTGTGGGGGAGAATCTGTCTCCTCGTCGCTGCCGCTGGGCTGAGTTATTAATTGTGCTGGGCTTTCATGGGCCAGGGCCTGTTATTAGTCACGGAATGCAAAGGCCCATTGTGAAGGCGTAATGGCATGAGGCCCATTCTTCTCCTCTGCGGCGGCGGCGGCGACGGCAAGCGAAAGACGCGAAGGCGAAATGGTGAGAGATCGCATCACCGGCTCTCGTAGCTGCTTCCTCGAGCTCTCCTTGCTTCGATCAGACGCGCGCTACCGATCGCCTGTGGGTTTGTGGACGGCAACGGGGAGCTTCGGTAAGCGCCGGAACAAGACGCACACGCTGTGCGGCGCTGCGGTCGCCGCAGTTTCCACCTGCACAAGAGCGCCTGCTCCTCCTGCGGCTACCCCGAGGCCCGCATCCGCAAGTGTAAGATCCCCTTGGTACTCTCTCCTTTCCTGGCCAGTTTCCTTATGATTGTCAGATTCGACGGTGACTGGGTATGGGTAGTATGGTTATATATCAATGCAGACGCGGCGTAACATCCAGCGATTTTGCCTGAGATCGCTGTTCTTACTTATGTGATAATGTTTCCAATGTGTGCTTTTCGATGGAATTGCACACCAACTCTCTGATTGGGTTGCCTAGTATGTTGCTTGATTTTTAGCTAGTTACTATTTGCATGCCGTGTCTAACAAATTTCATGTACTTAATTACATTATGTTGGCACTTACAGCAATACCATATTACTTAGTACGTTGCCTAGATTGAACTTACAATTTTCATGTAGTTATTAATTACATTATGTTGGCACTTACAGCAATACCATATTACCTTGCTGATGAATTGTTTGAAAGTATCCTGTCCTTGATGTGGCTTTGCGCCTCTGTCGATGAACTTCTGTTTATTCATGCAGTTCTGATGCCTTATCGTTTCTTGGAAAACAGACAACTGGAGTGTGAAGGCCATTAGGAGGAAGACAACCGGCACAGGGAGGATGAGGTACCTTCGCCACGTGCCACGGAGGTTCAAGAGCAACTTCCGAGAGGGTAATTCCTGTTCTCTGCTCATGTGAACCGAGGCTAAATTTAGTTTTTTTTAAAAAAAATATTTGAAGTGCTAAACTCCTGTCCTGGAAACACTTTTCAGCAACCGAGGAGGCTGTATCAAAGAAGAAGGGAGCTGCTGCTGGCGCCAACTAATCTGTTCTCCACTTATGCTAGACTGGGCTGCCCCTGGCTGTGGGTCATGACTCATGAGACTAGTGTTTTTGTTGCTTTACCAAAAATTCTATGTTCCTAAATTGAGAGGCAAACGAGGCTTGGTTATGTCATTTCATACCCTGGATGTTAACCCTTCAGTTTTGAATGTTGAATCGTGCCAGATTGTTAGTGTCCGGGTGTTAAATTTTGTCACCCTGTTTACAGAATTGTCTACAGCTGCCTTAGTTAGGCCCTGATCGCTTCTCTTATAATCCGTACTTTTCAGCTTGTTTTTTTTCAGTCGAAATAGTGTTTTTCTCTCCCAACAAAGCAGCCGGAACAGTGTTTCGACTTGTTTTTTCAGCGAAGCGAACGGGGCTTTTTTCTTTTTTTGTTAGCATGGTTTTTATTAATCTCCTGTGATGTGATGGTTATGCTTGTTTGAGAGTGTGCATTTCCAATGACTTTTTGTTTGCAAAAAAGGGTTACAGCGAATATAACTGTTAAAATTGGTGAAACTGTAGCACGTCTGGCTGTCGAAGGTGCTGCCTTATAGCTGTACTAATAACTGTTACAACGCCAAATATGCAGCATCTTCGCTGTGACCAACTCTGCAAGCTAAACTTGTCTCTGACCTCTCCTATAATTTACCCTCCCTTCATCATAGCCGACCGTCCCCCGGCTGGTAATTAATACTGATGTTTCTTTCTTCGTTGGACACCTCCATCCCCAGCCGACGGGATGTCGGCGCCGCCCGGCAACGTTGACGAATCCCTGTCATCACCGACACGGCCGCCACCGTCCTCCCCGTTGCACCTGCTTGAGTTGACCGTGATCTCGGCGCAGGACCTGCACCAGCGGCGGCTGGCGCGCCGCGTGCGCGCGTACGCCGTGGCGTGGGCGGACGCGACGCACAAGCTGCGCACGGGCGTGGACCACGCGGGCGGCGCCGTCCCCACGTGGAACGACCGGTTCCTGTTCCGCGTCGACGGCGCCTTCCTGCGCTCCGACACGGCGGCGGTGACCGTGGAGGTGCGCGGCACGGGCGGGCTGGGCGCGGACCCCGTCCTGGGCGTCACGCGCATCGTGGTGAGCACGTTCGTTCGCCCCGGTGGCAGCGTTCACGGCCCGCAGGTGGCGGCGCTACAGCTCCGGCGGCCGCGTTCGCTCCGCCCGCAGGGAATCGTCAATGTGGCCGTCGCGCTGCTGGACGCCTCCCGTGCGCCGCCGCTCTACGGCGTGCCTGGCTCGCCCGACGCCGTCGCCGTCAAGGACCTCGCGATGAAGCGCCCGGCGGCGTCGCTGTGCAAGGTCGGCGAGGTCAGCGAGGAACCGGGTGTGGACGACGGCCGCCAGCAGGCGCGAAGCAACCCGGAGTTGGTCGGTCAGTCCGGGCACCTGGACCCCAGGGGCGCCGCCGTGGAGCAGAGGAAGCTTGAGCTGACGCTGGAGAGGTGGAAGGCGGAGCTGTGGCCTGGCCTCAAGGAAGGTCGGCGCAGTGGCAGGCGGAGGCGGCGCCGGGCGGCGTCCTGCTTCCGGGGCAGCGGCGACTGGGACAGGTAACAATGGTCGCATGGAGCAATGGAGCAGGATGCACGGCTACGGAGAGGGAGGATGCATGGGCATTAAACAAAAACTGTAAAATTTCAAGAATTTTTTAGGTTTGCAGCAGTGATTACTTGTTTAATCTATAGAGCGAAGGAAATAGAAATAGATTCTCACTTAAATATTTTTTATTCACCTTACTTTCTGTCTCGTGGATCTGATATGACAAGTTGACCGGGTAGGAAACTCGGTCGGAAACTCTGACGTACAACTTTCTCTGTTACGGACGTCTCCATGCCAGTTTTTTTCACCGAGAATCTTTGTACCGCGCGTACCCACGCCAGGCCATCTGTCCGCCTCCGTGGTTCCTCGCTACCTGCCCAGTGCCCACCCCGTGACTCCACCCGCGCAACACCGCCAACCGCCCCGCTTCCTCGCTGTGTGCCTCCCCTCCGTCCCGATCTATACTGCATGCCCCTTCGCCCCCTCCTTGCCTGTCCGTGAGTTCTCGGAGAATTGATCGCCTCTTCAATCGAAACCCTACCAAATCGGAACGAAATCCTCTGTAGTCGCTCCCACGGACAGCGCCGCTACATGCTCCAACCAAGCTTCCATGGCACGCTTCGTTAGCTGCGCTGGGCCTCGGCCCAACAACAGCATCACGATGCTCGAGTTTTTGGCACTACAGCGAGCGTTTTTGGCGTGAGGCTGCGGCAGTAGGCGCCTCCATATTTTGGCACGAGGCTGCGGCAGTAGGCGCTCTCTCCGTATTTTGGCGCGAGGAAAAGCCTAGAGGGGCGATCATCTGGAGCTGGAGCTAGGTCGCCTTCGAGGGCAGGTGTGTCGCTCTTCATTCTAATTTGTTCCTGTGTGCTCAAATTGCAAAGTGCACTGCTCTTTTCTCTTCTCACCAATCTTACCCAGATTGCAAGGGTTAGGTCCTAATTTGGTTGCTTTTGTCGTGTACCAAAACAAAATCTGCATATTTTAGATGGAAGATTGAAGGTTAGATGAGACACTTCGGTACAAATCTATGACTCCACAAATTTCTCAGCTTGGCACAGCGAGCTGCCAGCCATCCAGGGTGCTCCTTGATAGTACATGACACACTTGATATCCTTACTAAGAAAATTGAAGAAGAAATCAATGACTGCACTCCCCCAACTGTGGATCGAGTCACTGTTCCCATAAATGTTACTCCTGTAAGTAATTTGGTGAGTACAGCACACTTTTAAAAAAAGGTGGTGGAAACAGAAACTTTGAAACGCGAAAGAACTTGGCTTGATAAGAAGCGCAAGTTTATAAATAAGGGAACCAAGAAAAAAGAGAAAGGTTCAATGGTATGTACTACCACAGAATATATTAGATTCTCTGTATTTGTATCAATGGAAAACTGATTCTCTTCTTTTATAGAAGGGACAACAAAATGTTAAAGTGGCATTCGATGATGGTGTAGCAGTAGAAAATATTTGGCCTGGTACTTCTTGTCCCAAGGAAGGAATGTCTGAATCTTACATGGCCATTCATAGCTACTCTCAGTTATTGACGGTAAGATTTAAAAACTATGATATTTTATCTTTCCAGTGAGGATCTAGACAGAGTTTAATTATTGTTCTTTTTATTTTGCTGGAAGTAATAACTGATATCTTAATGTTGAATTCCAGTAATAGTGCTAGTTCTGGAATAGCTTTTCCTATTTTGCTTGAAGTGTAAAGTTCAGCCTGTTTAATTATAACAGATGCCAGAAAAACAGTACCATATATTTGTTAAGCCTCTGACCTTGCAAAAATCAGTAATATATTCTTACTTCTGAACATGTCTTTGAACTTGCAAAAAGGAGCACAATTTATTCCACAATTGTAGTCTAGCTTGCTTATTTTTTTCATGGTTTCTATACACAATATATTTGCACAAAATTACTAGTTTCTGCACAAATTTCTACACAAAATTGCTATTTTTTCTCTGTATGCTTTCAATACAGAACACAATGCCTACACAGTTGTGGATTACAAACATAAAAGTGCCAATACTCTAAGATGAGTGCCGTTAAACAACCAGCTAGAGGTGGCCGTGCCTCTCAAGAGCCGGAGCTCGTGCGCCAAAGGGGCTCCACCTTGTCTGCGATGGAGGAGAGCGTCGACATCTCACCAGCGAGCACGGCCTGAGCACGCCTGCGACAGACGACGAGCAGCAGCCGCGCGTGCGATGGCCTAGACGGGAGCGGGCTACGAATTGTAGCCACCGGGAGGGCCACGCCTCTGTGCCGCGACGAGGGGGGAGGCGGATGGTGCAGGTCGGACCACCGTGGCGGCGAGGACGGAGGCGGAGCGCATCTGCGACGACGGGGATGACGGCACAAGGGAAAAGAGACGGTCATTGCTGTTTATGGGCGCTGGTCGCTCAAACTGACCTGCTACGCGACTTTGGTGCGGCTGGGATCTGGTGACTGCGTAGCGCCGAGCGACTGCAGAGGATTTCGTTCCGTCGCCGGCGCCGCGGCCACGATCTCGGCCACCTTGACTTGCACCTCGCCTCCGGCTGCGAGGGCCTCGTCGGCGAGGCCAGCGTACGGCAGGCCGGAGTGGCACGCCGCGCAATCGTGCTGCACGAACACCTTGTTCCCACCCCGCGCCCCGCTCGAAGCACACGCAGCCAGCAAACTGACTGAAGAAGGAAACGACGGTGGGTGGAATGGAGTGCAGGTAGTAGCTGCCGGTGCCGGTGCGAGCGCGCGCTTACCCTCCTTGGTGACCAAGTGTAGGCCGGACAGGCAGCGCTGGCGCTGTTGTCGGACGCCGACGCGACGGCCGCGGCGCGGCGCTGAGGAAGCACGCCGCCACGCCCACGGCCGTGACACAGAGCCGGCGGGTGCCCGTGCTTCCCTGCGGCTGCAGAAGCTCACGCACGGACCCATCGCCACCGCGGCCATTGCACCGGATTCGCAATGGGCCGCGCTCGCGATTAGCAGGTCGGCGGAGGCGGAACACACGCTGCCGTAACGGAACGCCGCCGACCAGCAGCCGTGCCTATAACCGCCCGGCACCCGCGCCTCGCCGCGCACATTCTATTCTCTCGCCCGCAGGCCGCCGTGCACCCAGCCATCTAACCACCCACCGGCCACCGACCTCCCCCTCCCTCCCTCCTCTACAGCCATGTCGCGCGCTCCCATGTCGCCCGCGGCGGCAGCGGTATTCTACACCCAGCCGACGGACATAGCGCTCGTCAAGGAGTTCCTGCGACCCTGGGTCGTGTCGAGCGAAATCGATCGAAGCGGCGTCGGCGAGTACATCCACGCCGAAGACATGTACTCGGCGGCGCCCGAAGAACTGACGGTCATGCTCGCGCCGGTCCTCTCGCAGGAGGGGAACCGCGCGTGGTACTTCCTCAGCCCTGTCCGGCCCAAGAGCACCAAACCGGGCGGCCCGCACCGCGGGCTGCGGCTGCTGGCACAGCGAGGGCAGGAAGAAGCGCGTTGTAGACTTCCTCGAAGCAAACCGGCTGATCGGGAAGCGTGAAAACTTCACGTTCAAGCTCAACGGCATCCCGACAGGATGGATTATGAGCGAATACCGCCTAGACGGCGAAGTCCTCCCGGAGCTCGCGCAGGACATCGCACTGTGCAAGGTGCATCGGAGCCCGCGCTACCCTGACCCAGCGGCGGTGCCTGCCAACACCGCGCGCCACCACGACGCTGCGGCGCCCGAAGGTGCGCGGCACCACGCCCCCGCGCCCGAAGCGTCTCTCGCCGCGGAGGCGGCTTCGTCCGGGAAGAGGAAGACCGCCGCCTCCAGCGCCGCGACGCCTACCAAGAAAGCCCGCGCTGCCGTGGGCACGTCGACGCCACCGCCTGCCCTCAAGAACAGGGCGGCGTCGTCCGAGGACCACGGCGAGCAATCCCAGAACGCGTTCGTCGACACCAAGGGGGCGGCGTCCGAGGACCACGACGAGCCATCCCAGAACGCGTTCGTCGGCACCAAGGGCGCGTTGCCGAAGACCAAGAAGCCCGCCGTGGAGGAGGGGGCCGCCGAAGCCCCAGCGGCGGCCGACCTGCACTGCCCCAGGTGCGGCTTCCACCTAGGTGCACTGCAGGCGGTCGTCACCCCCGCCAAGTCGGGGACGGAGGTCCTGGACGCGCCGGCGCCCCAGGATGCTGGTTGCTGGATAGCCAAAAAAGGCCAGGTTCTTCGCTCGCAGGGGACATATTCGTATTCTTTGCTAGTGGCCTGCAATGGCTCAAATGACTCTGAATTTTGGTGAATCTCAATTGCCGTGATTGCTGTGCTGTGTTTGAATCTGAGATTGCCTCTCGGCTGTGAACAGACTATGTAAACCTGTGTTCAGTTCGTTTTGTTTCAGTTAGTCAGTTGAGCTCGGCTTTGGATCAAATCAATTCTCCCGAGCGCGTCCTGTATTCAGGGGTCACAACGTGCGCTTTGACCGCGTTGTGGCCGTTGCCAGCCGCTCGGTGCGCGGCGTGACTTGGTGCGTGGGATGGCGCGCACAACTCGGGTCATGGTGGGCATGGCGCGCATGGCGGAGGGCGAGAATAGCTCGGCCACTCCTTTTCCTTTCCTGCAGTTTACGTTTGGTAGATGCTCAATGTATATAAGTAAGGGCGCCTAATACAGAAAAGCTATCGCGGTTGCGACGGCACCAAAATCAGTGTCCAATTGTGTTCGCGTTGAGTTCAATCGTTGATCGGTTCTTCCCCGTCGGAGCTCCGATCATCGCTGGAGTTCGGTTCCGGCTGTCAATTGGTATCAGAACCTGCCATCCGTGATGGACCACGGGTCAGCGCCGCCGTACGGGGGCCGTGATGGCCATCGTGGCGGGCGCGATCGTCGTCGCCAATCTCCCTCGCCGCAGCCCCGTCGCGGGCGCCGAGAGGTGGTCGTCCACCGCACGGAGAGCAACGCCGCCGGCACCCAGTTTCCCATGCTCACACGCACCAACTATCAAGAGTGGACGATGTTGATGCAGGTGAATCTCGAGGCGGCGGGGTGGTGGTACGCCGTGGA